ATGATCAAATGCAATACATGATGTACACTCTTAAAAATAAAGGTGCTTCAAAAGGTTCTTCAAGCGATGCCATAGAAGAACCATTTTTGGTTCCACAAAGAACCATTCAGTCAAAGGTTCTTTAAAGAACCATCTCTTTCTTACCTTTTTGTAATCTGAAGAACCTTATTTCGCCACAAAGAACCTTCTGTGAAACAGAAAGGTTCTTCAGATGTTAAAGGTTCTTTATGGAACCATTTAGACAAAAAGGTTCTTCTATGGCATCGTGAAGCACCTTTCTTTTTAAGAGTGTAGATCCAAAGATAAACCTAGTGACTCACACTATGCTCCAACAGAAAAGGACATGCATTATTTGCACAACTTGTGCAATAATTCAACATCATCAAGTACAACATTGTCTCTGCCTCTTTTAGCAATATTGATGACAAATCCTAATGTATGGCATTAGAGGGGGGGATGGCCATCAAAATTGTGATTTTATTGTGCCATCTACTGTCTCTGCTATGCAACTGCAGTTCAGTAATAATGTTAATATCCCCAACTGTCTATTTGGAGAAAGACTAATATGATCAAAACAGAACTAACTTTGAATACCCTTAATAATTTGTTACCAACCCAAACCAAAGAGAAAAACACAAACAACAAAGTGTATTTTCAGGAAAATGTACAATGGGACTAGAGCAAGAAGATCTTTTAAAGATACAACATCTGAAAAATACTAAGTGGTTTCACAAATCATCAGGAAATTATGTGGAATGTAATAGGGAATACAACCAAATTAAGTGTTATTAGGTATCTTGGCCTTGTCAGATGTTTATATCAGAGTACACAGTGGTTGATATGGTTACTGTGATCTGTTTTTCAGCATCCTCAGATTCAGAAAGAATCACAATACATCAAGTATCTGTGTTGTGATGATGAGTGGACCATGACTCTGTGGCTGACTGGAATACGTATTGCAAAGGTGAGCAGAAACCAAGCCACAGAGCATACATTTGTAAATATTTATAAAGTAGAGAATGATAAATCCAAAGAAGACATGAAGCATTGGCATTAGAAATTCTAGTTTACAATACAAATATGTACACTGTAAACTTTAGCTATGTTGTGTTCGGCAAAGTTGTTGAACTTTGTCTTGGGTATTAAATGAATAGTTCACCCAAAAATGAAACCATTTACTCACCCTCAAGTTGTTCTAAAAGGAGATATTTTGAAGAATGCTGGTAACTGGACATTTGCTGGTACCCATTGGCAACCCAATGGCTACAAGCATCTATTTGGTTATCTTATTTTGTGTTCAACAGAAGAAAGAAACTCAAACAGATTTGGAACAACCTGACAGTCAGTAAATGATGACAGAACTTTCATTTTGGGGAGAACTATCCCTTTAAGTTCTTCTAGTATTAACGGTCTTGTTTTGTCATGATTTCTTTCACAGTATGGTAAGCAGTTATATGACAACTTCAAGGTTGCTGTGAGGAAAGCTGCAGGCTCTGCAACATGGGCTAACCGCACTATCCAGGCCTCCTCCAGTGCATCGACACCCTCCCCTACACCTAAAGGTAGAGATGATGGAGCTCAACAGATCATCATAAAATGTATCATTGATCTTGCTATATTAACATGTTAAATGATTTTGAGGACATTTAGAAAGGCTTGTATATATCTTTCAGCCAAAGCTGCAAATGGACATGCTCCTCAGCCTGCAGTGGAGACCAAGGTACCTCTCAATATATCAGCTGTTTTAGTAATGGAGAACATGGTTTAAAAAAATCACTAATATTATCGGTAACACTTTAGTATAGGGATCAGTTCTCACTATTAACTATTTGCTTATTAACATGCCTATTATTAAAGGGTTAGTTCACCCACAAATATGTCTTTCTTTCTTTAGTCGAAAATAAATTAAGGTTTTTGATGAAAACATTCCAGGATTATTCTCCTTACAATGGATTTCAATGGCTACCAAACGGTTGAAGGTCAAAATTACAGTTTCAGTGCGGCTCTACACAATACCAGACGAGGAATAAGGGTCTAATCTAGCGAAACGATCGGTCATTTTCTAAAGAAAAAAAATGTATGCTTTATAAACAAAAATGACCGCCTTGCACTGCTCTGCGATGCACGTCCATGACTTCACGTAATACGTAATTACGTTGAAAAGGTCACGCTTGATGTAGGCGGAAGTAAGGTTTCAAAAGATTTAAACATCCAGGATACGCACACGAAGTGACCATTTTAAACGATAAACTGACACAAAGACATTTGAATATGTGTCATTGAACATACAACAACTTTTGGAGGGTCCTCCTTTACATTTGTAAACACTGAGTCGGTACTTCCGGCCTACGTCAAGCGTGACCTTTTCAACGTATTACGTGAAGTCGTGGACGTGCATCGCAGAGCAGTGCAAGGCACATTTTTGTTTATAAAGCATATACTTTTTTTTTTTTTTTTAGAAAATAACCAATCGTTTTGCTAGATAAGACCAAGCGGCAACCTCCCGCTCTCTCTGGTGAAGCCAACGAGGAAGTGACTTAAACTGTATTTCGCCAACTGGCCGCTAGAGGCTGGCTGCAATCGTTTTGCTAGATAAGACCAAGCGGCAACCTCCCCCTCTCTGGTGAAGCCAACGAGGAAGTGACTTAAACTGTATTTCGCCAACTGGCCGCTAGAGGCTGGCTGCAAAAGGGAGTCAATCCCATAGACTCCCCATGTTAAAATGCCCAACTTTACAGCAGAAAAAAACATGTTTACAGCCTGGTTCAAAAAATGATTTTGGTCTATATAGCTAATTTTGCCCTTCATGACAACTGTGAGGGGGGTGAATTTTTTTTATAACTCATCCGTTTAAATTATATTAAGCCTTAAAGTTCTGCATAATTAAGGGCGCGGCCACTTAAGTGACAGGTGGATTGCCGCTGCTGTCACCACCGTCGAGCTAGGTGGGCGTGGTTTCAGCAACCTGCTCCCGCCTCTTTGCCCATTTTCGATTATCCGGGTGTGACACGCTGCCAAGATGGCGACGGCCGACTCCGCCTACTTTAGGCTTCAAAAACGCTCTTCGGAACCCTACGGGTGACGTCACGGACACTACGTCCATGTTTTTATACAGTCTATGGATAAGACCCTTATTCCTCGTCTGAAGCTGCACTGAAACTGTAATTGTGACCTTCAACCATTTGGTGGCCGTTGAAGTCCACTATAAGGAGAATAATCCTGGAATGTTTTCAACAAAAACCTTAATTTCTTTTCGATTGAAGAAAGAAAGACGTAAACATCTTGGATGACATGAGGTTGAGTGAATTATCAGGAAATTTTAATTTGAAAGTGAACTAATCCTTTAATTACTCCCCCTCATGTCCTTCCAAACCCATAAGACCTTTGTTCATCTTCGAAACACAAATTAAGGTATTTTTGATTAAATCCGAGTACTCTCAGAACCTCCATAGACAGCAACACAACTGATATGTTCCCAGGTCCAGAAACGTAGCAAGGACATCAGTAAAATAGTCCATGTGACATCAGAGGTTCATCCGTAATTTTACGAAACTACGAGAATACTTTTTGTGCGCAAAGAAAACAAAAATAATGACTTATTGTGGAAAGAGTATCATGAAGTATGCTTGCTTCCGCTTCATGTAAACGACACATGCGCATGGCACTGTTGCTTATTTTGCATGACCATATTCTACATCCCTAATCCTACCCAATACCTAAACTTAACAACTACCTTACTAACTATTAATAAGCAGCAAATTAGTAGTTTATTAAACAAAAGTCGTAGTTAATGGTTTGTTATTAGCGAGAACTGGACCTTAAAATAAAGTGTGACCATATTATCTTATTAATGGTGTTTTTAAGTCATGAAAATGAAATTACTTTTTAAGTACTGAACTTTTATTTCATTAATATTATATTTTCTGCAAGTAAAGATAAAATGACATTTTTAAGACTTGAAGTACACTGCAAGTGCACATTCAGTACAATTAGGCACACTTCTTTTTCACAAGGCTATACATGTATATGGTTCCTTGAGAGCTGTTTTAATCTTCTTGTAATGTCATGATTTATTTAGAGTTCTCCTGAATGTTATTTTTGGTTTGTTTTTGAAGGGTTCTGGCAACCAAACAACTTTTCCACCACCTCCGCCTTCAATGGAAATCCTGCCTCCTCCTCCTCCCAACACAGCCAAAGTTAACAAGTTTCCTCCTCCACCTCAATTCCCACAATCCTCCTTCCCACCTCCACCCATGGATGACCTGCCTCCTCTACCACCTCCTCAAGAAGATGCCGAGCTGCCCCCTGAATTCCTGCCTCCACCACCACCTAGTTTGACATCTAACGGGGGAGAAGCGCTCCCACCACCACCTCCAGACCTCTTTGCGTCTCTTCCACCACCTCCTCCTGCTCCCCAAAACTTTGCATCTGCAGGTGGAGCACCGCCACCACCTCCACCTCCACCACCGGCTGCCCACAAACCCACCGACTTCGTCAGAAAAGTGGCTCCACCTCCACTAAAGAGGACTACACCTCAACTAACAGCGCCATCAGGTGGAGACTTCATGTCAGAACTGATGACAGCAATGCAGAAAAAGCGCAGTCACCAATGAACTTGAAGACAGACAGAGCTAATTGACATGTTTTTATAGTTGGACTGAGGAACTGACCCCCGACCGGTTTTTGGTGTGACATTAGGACAAATTGGATGCTTTAATTTTGTTGTTGTTTGAAATGTTTTTATTACACCACAAAACTAAAAATGTGTAAATACTTTGTTCTTATGCAGCTACTTAGATTATATACTGTATGTATTACAAATATGCTATATCATCATTGCTAATGAAATGTCAGTAAATACGGTCTTGCAAAGTTAACTGTTAAACAGATTCTGGCAGGCCTTACTGAGTTCTTATTTAGATGCATGATGCAAAATTTCACATGCTTGTGTAGAACTGCAGAATGTTTTGATGCAAATGAATGTTCAAGTTATGCTTACATTGAGAACATAGATTAGGAAGAACAGCTGACCCTCAGCTGCTGAGCCCAGGATGGAGGTTTACTGGAGTATCCGGCTCTCTCAGCCGCCTCCTGCTCCACAAACGGCTCTGTTAGAGTCTTCTGCAACAGCGCCACCTAGAAATACATCATACGACATTCTATCACTTATAAAAAATAATAGTCTGCCTGAAAATAGTAGATTTTGTGTAATTGTCTGGCCTACAGTACATTTCAAAGTAACATATTAAAGCAAAAGTTCATCACATGCAGTCATACCTCTGAAAAGTCATTTTTCTCTGCTTTTCTGATAGCAGATTCAGCCATCCAGTTCCTCAATACATACCGAGGGTTGACTCCTGAAAAATAAAAACAAAGCAGTCAACACACATAACGACATAACACATAACAACATTACCATTCAAAAGTTTAGCGTCAATAATTGCAATGATGCTGACAGTAACGGTGCTGAAAATTCACCTTTGCCATCACAGGAATCAATAAAATTTTAAAATATCAAAATAGGAAACTCTAATATTATTTCACTATATTACTCTTTTCACTTTTGGTCAAACAAATGCAGCCTTGGTGAGCATATAAGACTTCTATCAATAGCATTCTAAAAAAAAAATCTTTTGAATGGTAGTTTGCTGTACTGTAATGTAACAATATATACAACACAGACCAAAAAATACCTTGCATTCTGTCTTGACGTGCTGCATCTGAGTCACTTTTCATCCTTTAAGAGACAGAGATTAAAACATCGAGAGATGTTCATTTCAATGCTCTAATGTATGCGAGTGTAGATTGCAGCAATGTTACCTTGACAAACGCTTTAAATACAGCTGAACCCAGTCTCTGAAATACTCATGTGATAAGAGGTCTGACAGAGCCCACATCGACTGTTAAGAGAGACACAGTTAATGGACTGAAATCATTATTATATAAATCATGGATGTTGCAGCTGCTGTGGGTGTGAATGGTGTGGAAATGTACCGGAGGAAAGGATCCCGTCTGAAGCTGGGACAGAGTGACTTCACTCAGCTGTCTGAAAGTCATGGTGAAGTCTGCTCCAGTGTCCTCCATCAGCTTAAACCAACACATCACACACCATACATTATACATTTAACTCTACAACGTTATACATGTAATTCTACTCTTTGTGTTTACTGCAGTTATTACAACAGGACACTGAACTTTATTTGATAGATTTGGTCATTTAATACCGTATGGAATTAAAAAAATCTAACAGTAAAAGTTTAGTAAAAAATGAAAATTTTTTTATAAATAAATGAATGTATATTTCTCTCTCTCACACACGCACGCACACACAGCTAATATTTACCTTTAGAAGAAATGCAATCACATATGAATCCTTTTCTTGATTTCCCAGAAAGCCTAACTTTGCTTTGAACAGTTCATGGAATCTGTAACAAAATTCGAAGAATTAGATTAGAATAATTAATACAGTGTTCAGTGTACAGTTTAATGGCATGCTGACCTTTGATGGTAGGTTTGTGAATATTCTTTCAGTGTTTGCTGACACCTGAAATGAACAAATGAAATGATACATGAATCACCCGTTTCATTCCAGATCAATACAATCAGAAAATAAAAAGAGCTCTTACTGTGACAGCTGATCTGGGGTCAGCAGTGGTTTCAGAGCTTCTAGAAGTTTCTGTAGATTGAAGAGGCCCACATTAGCCTGAGCTCCTATACTGTACCGGCCCTCATCATCAGATGTGTTGGGGACAAAATCTATACAGAAAAAAAAATGCTGTAGCAATGTTGTTTTTTTGGTAGGTTAGTTTCATGTTCACTTAATAGAATAGAATACAACAATTAATGCAGCAATAATTAATTTTGTACTGAACTATACTTAAAAAGGAAAATTGTATGAATTATATATGATACGTATATATTCACACACGTTACATGTTATGCTATACAACAAACTTTAAACTATTACAAGAAAATGGTCCCTAATATTTTGAAGTATGGGAAAAAGAAAGTTACTTGGGTCATACGATTCCATAAATCCAAACGGGCCATAGTCAATAGTAACAGAAAGCAGACTGAAGTTATCGGTGTTGCATACTCCTGCGTGAAGATGCAGATCATATGGTTGAACATTTTGGGTATTCAGCTCAATCTATAATATAACAGTCTGTGATAATTAAATTAGTAAAGAAGAGTCAACTAACCATGCGCAAATCCAACTGACATCCAGAGGGCGATTAAATGTGCGGTTTCATTCACCACTCTAGAGAAAAACACCTGAAACCCAGTGAAATATAGTCAAGCTGGTTAGAAAGTATAAAATAACTCTGTATTACAACTAAACATAAGAGAGACACTGAGATACATACCACATACTTGTCAGGGTCATTCATCGCAATAGATTTAAAATACTCTTTAATTATAAAGTCCAATAATGTCCTAAAAATGAAATACAGAAAAAAACATTAAATGAGAGTAAGTCTGAGAATAAATATTACCCTCCTGAGTTAAAGTTAATTTACCGCAGGACATCTAACTCTCCGGTTCTAGTTAGTATCTCCAGCGAACCAATACGAAACCAGGACCTGGCCAGACAGAAAGCAGACTGAAGTTATCGGTGTTGCATACTCCTGCGTGAAGATGCAGATCATATGGTTGAACATTTTGGGTATTCAGCTCAATCTATAATATAACAGTCTGTGATAATTAAACTAGTAAAGAAGAGTCAACTAACCATGCGCAAATCCAACTGACATCCAGAGGGCGATTAAATGTGCGGTTTCATTCACCACTCTAGAGAAAAACACCTGAAACCCAGTGAAATATAGTCAAGCTGGTTAGAAAGTATAAAATAACTCTGTATTACAACTAAACATAAGAGAGACACTGAGATACATACCACATACTTGTCAGGGTCATTCATCGCAATAGATTTAAAATACTCTTTAATTATAAAGTCCAATAATGTCCTAAAAATGAAATACAGAAAAAAACATTAAATGAGAGTAAGTCTGAGAATAAATATTACCCTCCTGAGTTAAAGTTAATTTACCGCAGGACATCTAACTCTCCGGTTCTAGTTAGTATCTCCAGCGAACCAATACGAAACCAGGACCTGGCCAGGCGCAAAACAACCGCTCCTGATGGACACAGAGAACAATCACATGCCATGATTTATAAAGATAAAGACTGATCAAGAACAAAGTGTTCATTTACAGTATTTTTTCATCTGATTGTAGTTTTACCTCTTTCTTTTATGACATTGGCGTTATAAAACTGATCCCTCCATACAGGCTCCTCACTTACAACCAGACTGAAAAAAAGCAAAACAGCAAAATTTGAAGGTGGTAAATACAGTATTAATGTTTTTGTGCATGCCCATTCATTCTCTCCCACCTCACTAATTAGCATAAGGCATCTTCGCATATGTACGCATACATAAGAGACTGTGTATAAAGCACTATTTTACACACATATAAAATAGTGTATGATGTGTATTTTATGCACCTGAGGGCTCTGCTTGTGGGAACCCCCAGAAAATGCATGGCTTCACTGCACAGGAACTCCCTCACAGAGGAGCGAATCACAGCCCGTCCATCACCAGACCTATGCACACAACATCATGACATGACATATATATACTGTATAACAACTAAGAAAAATAATTATGTATTTCTTAAGATAACACACAGTATAAAGCAAATACTGTGAAACCACAGAAGCAAAATTCACCTTGAGTACGGTGTCTTTCCTGAGCCTTTCAACTGGAGTTCCCATCTTTCACCTTTTCTGGATAAAAAAAGAGAGACTGTAGACTGGCCTACTCTCATTCAGAACACCTGTCACATTTCTAAACTGAGATATCTTCATTGTTCAGCTGCATGCTTAAATGAATAGTTCACCCAAAAATAAAAAATTGCCACACATTTACTCACTCTCAGGCCATCCAAGATGCAGGTGACTAACTTTCTTCAGTAGAACACTGAAGATGATATTTAGCTGATTCATAATATGCAAGTTAATGGGTACCGTCACACTGAGAGTCTAAAAAGCTGTTACAGGAAAAACTAAATTAATACTTGTAGCTTCTGATGCTATATTGAGGTCTTATGAAGCAAAACAATTGATCTGTGCAAGAAACTGAAGATTATTTACAACATTATATACCTGTACTCCATAGCCTCAGGCAAACAGCATTGGAGCTCAAGGTTTCTGTTGCATGATTATGCATGCGTGGTAGCAAAGTCACGTGTGAAGTGATGCCATTGCTGTTTACAACGGAGAAGGAGGACACGTGTGCATACCTCAATATATCACCAGAAGCCACAGGCATTACTTTTGTATTTCCTGTAACTGCTTTTTGTGACGGCACCCATTACCTTGCAGATTATGAATAAACAAAGACCATGGGTTCAGCTAAAAATCATCTTTACTGTTCTACTGAAGAAAGTCACCTATATCTTGGATGGCCTGAGCATGAGTAAATTAAAAGAAAATGTCAATTTTTTGGTGAACAATTCCTTTAAACATTGTGTAATGCCGAGTTCACACTGCACGATTTTAGCCCGATTTTTCACTCGCCGGGCAGGTTTTGCAAAATCGCCGACAAATGCCCGAAATCGGAGGCAAATCGGTGCTCGTTCACGTGAGAGACAATCACGCGGTGTGAATTATCAAAGACGTGATCTGAGGGAATCGCCGATGCGATGCGATGCGTCGCCGACGCCCGTGAAATATTTGCCATGCTAAATATCTGGAGCTGTCGGTGATTCAAAATCATGCTGTGTGCAATGAGTTCTGACTGAAAAACACATCGGCGATGACCTACAGCCAATGAGAGACCAAGATACAGGGCAGAGGGAAGTTCGGGGAGGAGTTATATGAAACGTAGTTTGCGGACCAGTGTTACCAAATACGCGATTGCCGCCGGTTGTTTTTATGTCAGCAGGTTGAAGCGACCCCAATAACGTGATATTTAGGCCCTGGAATGGGAATTTTACACTGCAAAAAAAATTCCGTAAAATTTATGGTAAAAAACCGGCAGCTGTGGTTGCCGGAATTTTACCGTAAAAAGTACAGTAGCAACGTTTTAGGTTTTTATGGTTTTAACTTAAATTTACAGTTAAATACCGTAATTTCATTAACTGATATAATGTTAATATACCAACCTATTTGAAGTACTGAAATCTGTTATGTACCTTTGTAATACACTGATAACCACCAAATGCAGGTGGTGATGAGAAAGTCACATGATGAACCAAAGCCCATCACAAGCAGCTTTTAAATAATAACATATATAGAAGGTGCACAGTGTAATTCACACAAACACCATCACGGTAACACATATGAAACTGAAATAATGCAATAAACATTCATTTAACAACATTAGGTGTAACACACAACCCTAATATACAAAACTGATAAGAAAAAACTAAGAAACATAGTTATTTCAACAAAAAAAAACATCAAATTTGAAATGTAACGCAGGGAATTCTGGGAATGTCAATTTACGGTTATTGACTGTAAATTATACGGTATTTTTCACTTCCAAAAACGGTATACTACCGTAAAATTTATGTCCAATACATGTAATGTCCAATACAGTTTTTCACCGTATATAGTAGGGGAATTTACCGTTAATCATTTAACAGGTTTTTACTGTAGCAGTCTTTTACCGTTAAATTCACGGTCATTTTTTACAGTGTACCAGGAGAACCCCGCCAAAAAAATGTGTATTTTACCCCCCGAACGCGATTTTTACTGGGGGACCCCCTCGAAAGCAATTGGGCTATTTTCAGGCTAGTTTTGAGTAGTAATTGGGCGGGTTTTGTAGCGAAAACCTGGCAACCCTGCACTAGACAGCGTTATCGGTGATTCTCCCTATTGTAAAGTCAGTGTGTAACCTCCTGTCATTGTTCCATCGTGCAGTGTGAACACAGCAACAACTGAATGCTACCCCAGATAGTCGTTCAGTGTGAATTGAAACCAACAGTGATGCAACGTCTTTGAAAATCGTGCAGTGTGAACTCGGCATAAGATGATGAGAGTTTAGAGATTATAGAGACATTTACCTGTTTGCATATTCACCCAGCAAATGTACTCTTCCATCCCCCAGCTGTCCTGCCCAATAACCAAACTATAAAAAATAATAATCAAACAACATAGTTGAAATTATGCCATTGCTGTTAGGTTTGAAACTTCAGTTTTACCTGATGGCCCCCGTATCTGTGTGCCAGTGGAATCGAGCCAGGAAACAGTTTTCCACCACTGACACAAAGAACAAATTCTTCATTCTGAATCACAGACTCATTCAGATCCAAAATATTCCTCAACACATCCTGAAATACACATAAAGAGAATCAAATATGTGGAAACAACATTTACAAAAAAAGTATTGTGGTGGTACAGTGATGAATTTGATGATGCCATTGTACTCTCATAAATACAAAGGCATTGACAAGCATTTAGACAAGCTTGATTGAATTCCTGTTTCTCATGAAATCAGTTTTGTCAAAACAAAGAAAAAACAAGTTGATTAGGAATTGATAAGCTGAAAACTGAGATCTCTTCGAAATAAATACGTAAATACGACAAATTAATTAACTCATTACAATAAGTTAAATGCTCGTGACAAACACATATAGCTCAAATGCTATGGATCATTTGTACACTATGTAATAGTAGGTGGTCCATAATTTTGTTTTGATGAAGTGGTCTGCCACCCCTTGTGATTTTTCTTTTAGTATTGAATGTGCACAAACCCTAATTTTAACACATTTTAATGGAAAACAACTTGTACTTGTAGACAATATAATATTGATTATATAAAAGGCCACTTAAGGATATATTTAAAAAAGCACACGTTCTTATCATTTTAAGGGGTCATATGATGCGATTTCAAGTTTTCCTTTCTCTTTGGAGTGTTACAAGCTCTTGGTGCATAAAGAAGATCTGTAAAGTTGCAAAGACTAAAGTCTCAAATCCAAAGAGATATTCTTTATAAAAGTTAAGAGTCAGCCACGCCTACCTAAAATGCCTCGTTCTAACACGCCCCCACATGTCTACGTCACTATGTGGAAATATTAGCATAATGCCGCCCAAATGTGCACGCAAAGAAAGAAGGCGTGGTTTCAGGAACAGCAGTTAGTGTTGAAGCAGCATGTCAGGGAGACGCTGTGTATTTCAGTGTGAAAGCAGAAGCACTTTATTTGGCCTTCTGGAAGTAGATGCAATTAGGAATCATTGGTTAAGATTTATTTACAACAGAACAGCACGACCCAGATGTTCGAATTTGTGCAACGCATTTTATGGACAACGGTTATATATATATAAGTTTAAATAGAAATGCCATTCAAGTACATTTCAGTTTACCAATGTAAATTTGTCCGTGCATTTGTTAGTACACTTTAACCGTATTTTAAATACAAAAGAAGTGATGAACGTAACAATTATAAAGATGTACATACGTTCTACTTAAATAGGTCTCTGCAGATCAGCTAACTGCATTTAATATGAATTTAAACTTTAATAACTTTTCATTTTATTGCAATTAAGTGTCCGAAAAGATTACATTCTGTTCACACTTGAGTATATTTATTTAATCTACATTATTTCAGTAATGATACTTTTGTTAAAAGTATGCTGATGTGTATTATTGTGTATAAGGGCATGAATAAATTATGATGATGACTTTATTACTTTTTTTTTGAGGTGAACAAGAATAGTAATAAAGAATGGTTGGATGTGACCAAACTTTTGACTGGCAGCTACCATTTTTCAATTCGAGAAGCACAGTTTCACCGAAGGGTTAGTTACCTGTGACACAGCAGCCAGTGTCAGGGGCTCTTTCAGAGGGGTGGGCTGACACTCTGCAAACACACAGCCCTTCACAGCACGAATAACAGGACCACCCACCTCATCAAGAGGGAGAGCATCTGGAAAACACAGACAGCGATTCAATCACAGTCGAGGTGTAACACAGCATGTTTACACTCATAATGTAAATCTTACCTGAAAGTTTATGTGATAATGTCAGTGGTATTTCTCCACAGAAGTGATTCTGCTCAAAGTCTCGTTCGTTACAACTTTGACTCTCACAGAAGTCTTGTTGGTCCCTGCATGTCGTGCTAGCGACGGCCGAGAACAATAACAATAACGTGAAACCATGTTTTGTCATTACATCAATCTCACAAACATGAAGTTATTCGCATCCGTACTTCACCTCATCACGGAACTAGAGGAGAAATCAGCACTATTTGCTTTGTCACACAAACAATACTCCGACGCTCGACTAGGGGGCGCTCGGGGGCTCAAAATGCCATGTGACTCTCAGGCCTTTTTTCTTTAGTGCCTACAAAATACAACTGATTAAATCTATTAATTTTATAGATTCAGAACCTTTGTTTTCTTCCTTTTAAGCCACCTCCCCGTTTTTCTATTGGCTATTAAACCTCATCTGGACACTTTTACCTCCAGCAACCCCGAGTCATACAAAAATTATTTCATTAATAATCAATATTTATTGTTGCAATAATTTATTTGATCTATTAACACATGTATCTATTTATATCTATTGACTAAAATAACGATAATATAATTTGTAAAAAATAATTATTATATAATTTGTTATACTATATATATATATATGATATTTTTATAATGTTTATGTATGCTTGAATTTATTTATTTTATTAACATTTTATTTTATAATATTACTTATTAACATGTAACTATTAATAATTGAAATTGAAATAATTAAAAACAACAACAACAACAATAATAATAATAATAACACTTACAATTATTTATAATTATTATTTATAATTTATAAGAGAAAAGTTATGGACCACTATAACACGCCTATTTTATAACCCTTACACGGTTTTTATTTTATTTTATAATATTATTTATTAACATGTAACTATTTATAATTAAAATTGAAATACAACAATAACAACAATAATAATGATGATGATGATAATAATACATATTTTTATTATTATTATTTAGAATTTACGAATCTGACCAATTAGAGACAAGTTATGGGCCACCATACCACGCCTATTTTATAACCCGTACACGCCAAATGGCCCTCTTTCAACAGCAGCACACCACGTGACATCTCTTCCGGTTCGGTAACGGACGTGACGTCACGGGGCATGTGCGGCTCCTCGGTGGGGAAGCATCTTCAGCATGGCGGTGCCGTGGAGCCGATGCTGGAGGAGCAGCCCTGGAGCGGCTGTGCTGCTGGACTGGTGTTGCGGGTTCAGCAGAAGAGCTTTCACTCACGCGGCTTCAGGAGGCGGAACAACAGAGAGCTCCACCGCTGCGACGCAGGTAGCGTCCACACTGACGCGCAGACATGAAGGTCACCAGTGTGAGCCAATGAATGACAGACAGCTGCCTTACACTGAGTTTACACGAGGACTGCGAATGTTTTGCGTTGTAACAGTGTTACAATTCTTATATCGTATAATGTATATGGAGTCGGTTTTATAAGGAACGAAAGGAGTCTTGACTGAACTGTGTTAAAGGTCAAGAACTCATGTTACAGAATGTCACTGGTGCAGAAGAATGCTTGACAGGAAGTCTTGTGTTCCGGTTTGATGGGTACTGCACTACTTTTAGCTTTATGTGATTTACTATTTATGTTTTTCAGGTTTTATTCCGGCAGGGCCCTGTATATAATTTTAACGAACCAATGACTATTGCAAGGTATGTCAATGTCACATATGTGTACTAATTAATATAGTACTATTACAATACTAATACATTCATTTGTATGCATAACCGGGGCAAGTTGTCACATGGGGAAGGTGTCACAACATAACTAAGAGGGTCAACTTTTTAACAATTTTAGTTATGTCTACAGTGTATTTCTAACAGGCCAAATTAGCTGTTTGGTGTTTTTACATGAAAATTATGTGAATTAATTACAAAACATTAGAATTTTATACACTAGTTCAAAAGTCTAAGTAAGAGGTTTTCTTTATTTTTAATTTTTTTTAAAGAAATTAGGTAACACTTTATTTTAAGGTGTCCGTGTTACACATGTTACATGTACTTACTGTTATAATTAGAGGTCGACCGACAGTGGATTTTGCCGATACCGATAGCTAGGTTGGACCACACTGGCCGATACCGATTAATTAACCGATAGTTTTAAAATTGATACTGAACAAAAACTAAAATAGTGCTTTATTAACAAAACAGTACTGAACCATACTAGTAGTAATAATAATAATAAAAATGTTGAAATGAACACACTCTAACAAGGAACAATACTTTCATTACACAGCTTTCATTATTATTAATGCTACAAATGGACTCTTATTTTAAAGTGTTACCATTTCATTTCAACTGTCATGCTTAAAGATGCACATCTTTAAATATAAACACAAAGGCCATAGCATTACAATTATATACATATGGATATTGCATGTATACTCTCACACTTTAACTGCTTCTATTCTTGAACACTTGATGATTATCTAATCAAAATAAAAGCGCAGCGCTGAGTCTAGGAGAACTCACACACACCCTGGACGCGTCGCGTTCAACTCGAGCAGCGGTCTAGAACAGTTTATTTAATCACCAAACGGACACAAGTTTACTTCAAGAATGAACAATTTGACATGGATGAGTTTGAAGTTCGGTGTTTAAAAAACGGAGCAAACGGAAAGAGAAAG